GCATAAACACATTTCATTACACCAAATACACAAAATAATGTCCTTTTTAGCAACATCATATGACTCCTTTAATATTTAAAAACTTTTGTCTGCCAAATCAAAGTCATCTGCTGCAAACAACAAGCAAAGTTATACAGGAGAAAACAAAACAGGAATTGATGTCATAGAGGACCCTTGCAGACTGAGTATCAAAGTCAATAATATATTTTGACCTTTTTATGACAAGTCAAGTTAGTTTACTTTTTTTATTTATTTAAATGAACATTTACCTTGAAAAATATATTTAATAACTTTTCGGAAAATAAAGATTAAGATGTGTATTCTTCTCACAAGTATTCAAAATGTAAGAAAAAAACATTGTATATAACTTGACGTGTTTTAAACTATATTTGAAAAGACCTTTAATCACTTATGTGTCACAGACCCATTAATAACTTAACTTAATAAAATGTGTCATTTCTCCACCACTAGTGGCACCAAAATTGCACGCTTTACTTTTAAACTGTCTAAACACTGAATTTAGGGAATTGACTTTAGTTAGCAAACTCATAAAGAATGATTCTTGTTACGCTGTACCTCGGCACCTTTCTCCAGCAAAAGCTCCACACAATCAGCATCAGCCACCATACAGGCACAGTGCAGTGGCTTCAGCGTGCCATGCATCCGGTTCACATCTGCTCCCTGTGAAAGCAGCACGTTTTCATTCAGAACGCAATATATAAAACTCTTTCTGAAGCTTTGGTAACACAACTCACCCTGCGTATAAGATCTTCCACATTATCATGTGGGAAGGAGCGAATGGCAGCTATGGTTCGAATGAGCCTTTCCGACAATGAGTATTTGCTCTGAATACTCTGCATGATGTACCACATAGTAGAGCTCATGTGGAGCTAAAGGACATTTCACCCAGACCGGGTGACACCGCACCAAAATGAGATGGCTGTGAAAGTGAGAAAATAATAGAAAATTGATTAACAAGAGAATAAAGTTGATAGAACAAGTAGGCTAATATATTTAACATTTGGAATCATACAATCATTCAATCTCTTTACTGGTTTATGTCAATGGGGATATGCCACATTTACAATTGATTTAATAATAATAATAATAATAATCAAACAATCATCAAAATAAATAGAATAAATGCCAATAAATACATATTAAACAAATTATAAATGTTTAAATAATAATACAAATACATATTTATATAATATAATCATTTATAATATAATAGTTTATTCATTATTTATTATAATAACCTGGCAAATATGAAAAATAAATAGATACATGTAAATAAATAACTAATAAACAGATATTAAATAACTTCTAAACAATAAATTATAAACAAATGCTTAATTTCTCATCAAAATTTGTAATAAATTTTTTACATCAATTTGCCTAGAAATGAATAAAAACAAAGTACATAAAATTTACTGTTTTACAATTGTTTTACTTGTTTTATTTATTGTGTTGTTTATAGATTTTTTGCTTTTATTTATATTCATTTCTGTATTTATTTAATTTTTCACTTCATTTCCAAAATCAAATTTTTCATACATTAATTTTTATATTTATTTTTCCATATGGCAATGAGGGTTAATACTGTATCTTTTCGAAACATGTCTTCATTCATTAATAATTAATTCCGACAAATTTCGCTCCTCCATCTAGGTCTAGGTAATACTCTAGTGGGTTATATCAAGCTGTAAACATAATACTAACAAAATATAGTTATTCTTTGTGTAGCAGGTGCCTGACACACTCGACCTGTCTTATAAATACTGATCAAAGCATGCATGCAACATAGTCATGCAAATACATAAAGCAAAGGAGCTGTTTGCTGTTCGTCTTGTCTTGTTGTCATGCTGTCAACAAAAGGTCATATGACAGCTCAGCTAGCGAAGAAACACCAGCTTTAACAAGCAAATGAAGTCTAAAACATGACAGCTTTATAATGCCAGTCAACAAAGACATCTGGCTCCATCTAAATGAAATGTTTTTTGTTTTGTTTTGTTTTTTAAAAAGGCAGGGTTGTGTTTGTTTATTACTCCTTTCGGTATGTGTCCTACCGGAATGAACTAACGTTAACGTTAGCCGTTTGGAGCTAGTTTCGACACCCGGGAGGTGAAATTACATATTTTCTTACCTCTGGATCTTCTTAGACGCAAGTGAAACAAAAGCAAAACGCAAAGTATGTAATCGAAGACGATTAAGTGTTAAAACGGTACCTGCAGGAAATGAAAACAGCTGCAGGTTTGTAGCTAATCTGTCAGTGTGTCAGCGCTCAACACAAACACTGTGACGTCACGAGAGGAAGTGACAAACAATTTGAATCCGTCTGTTTTCATTGGCGAAACACATTTGTAGCTTGGAAATGCGGCTAGAAATACGGCTAAAATGAGTTATGCGCGTCTGTATGTGTGAGAGGCCATTCTTCACATACCGTACTCTTCCTGCCAAATATAGACACGAAGGGCCCCGTGCTGAGGGGCCCCTGAGTGAATGACACTTTATGTCACACAGTACCCTCTCACACTATTGATTGTTTTCCTGTTACAGTACAATTAAAAAAAAAAGAAACATCAAATGAAGCAGTGTTATAAATTCAGTTTGCTGTGACAAATTACATTAAATTAACAAGTTGTATTTTCAGTGGGTTTTGAGATGACTATATCTAGAAATGAACTTTATTTGACATTTGCCTTAGAGCAATGCTCTTATTAAAAATGTACCCTCCTGATTAGCAGTTAGATAAATTAGTCTGAGATTTATCATACTTTATGTATCATTTTGTAATTATATTATACACATTTTTGTGATAACAGACTGTAAAGTATACCTTACATACACACTACCATTCAAAATTCATTGGAGTCATTAATCATTTTATAAAAAAAAAAAAAAACTATTTTTATTCAACTAGGATGCCATTTAATCCCACCGGTCACAATAGTGACCGTAAAAAGGTTTTCATTTAAAAAGCTCTAAAAACCTCACTGACTGATGTTTTAGTGCACTTCCTGCAAATATGGAAAAAAATAAAGGGTCGTTATATCAAGCTGTAAACATAATACTAACAAAATATAGTTATTCTTTGTGTAGCAGGTGCCTGACACACTCGACCTGTCTTATAAATACTGATCAAAGCATGCATGCAACATAGTCATGCAAATACATAAAGCAAAGGAGCTGTTTGCTGTTCGTCTTGTCTTGTTGTCATGCTGTCAACAAAAGGTCATATGACAGCTCAGCTAGCGAAGAAACACCAGCTTTAACAAGCAAATGAAGTCTAAAACATGACAGCTTTATAATGCCAGTCAACAAAGACATCTGGCTCCATCTAAATGAAATGTTTTTTGTTTTGTTTTGTTTTTTAAAAAGGCAGGGTTGTGTTTGTTTATTACTCCTTTCGGTATGTGTCCTACCGGAATGAACTAACGTTAACGTTAGCCGTTTGGAGCTAGTTTCGACACCCGGGAGGTGAAATTACATATTTTCTTACCTCTGGATCTTCTTAGACGCAAGTGAAACAAAAGCAAAACGCAAAGTATGTAATCGAAGACGATTAAGTGTTAAAACGGTACCTGCAGGAAATGAAAACAGCTGCAGGTTTGTAGCTAATCTGTCAGTGTGTCAGCGCTCAACACAAACACTGTGACGTCACGAGAGGAAGTGACAAACAATTTGAATCCGTCTGTTTTCATTGGCGAAACACATTTGTAGCTTGGAAATGCGGCTAGAAATACGGCTAAAATGAGTTATGCGCGTCTGTATGTGTGAGAGGCCATTCTTCACATACCGTACTCTTCCTGCCAAATATAGACACGAAGGGCCCCGTGCTGAGGGGCCCCTGAGTGAATGACACTTTATGTCACACAGTACCCTCTCACACTATTGATTGTTTTCCTGTTACAGTACAATTTTTTAAAAAAGAAACATCAAATGAAGCAGTGTTATAAATTCAGTTTGCTGTGGCAAATTACATTAAATTAACAAGTTGTATTTTCAGTGGGTTTTGAGATGACTATATCTAGAAATGAACTTTATTTGACATTTGCCTTAGAGCAATGCTCTTATTAAAAATGTACCCTCCTGATTAGCAGTTAGATAAATTAGTCTGAGATTTATCATACTTTATGTATCATTTTGTAATTATATTATACACATTTTTGTGATAACAGACTGTAAAGTATACCTTACATACACACTACCATTCAAAATTCATTGGAGTCATTAATCATTTTATAAAAAATAAAAAAAACTATTTTTATTCAACAAGGATGCCATTTAATCCCACCGGTCACAATAGTGACCGTAAAAAGGTTTTCATTTATAAAGCTCTAAAAACCTTACTGACTGATGTTTTAGTAAATAGCTAATTTAATCTTGTTTTAGCAAATATGGAAAAAATAAAGGGTCTCAATTAAATATACGCAGTTTCACATGATTAGTGCAAAAAAAAAAACTATTTTTATTCAACTAGGATGCCATTTAATCCCACCGGTCACAATAGTGACCGTAAAAAGGTTTTCATTATAAAGCTCTAAAAACCTTACTGACTGATGTTTTAGTAAATAGCTAATTTAATCTTGTTTTAGCAAATATGGAAAAAATAAAGGGTCTCAATTAAATATACGCAGTTTCACATGATTAGTGCAAATTGTCACATCAGTATTCCTATCAATGTTGTATAAGGTTTTTTTATGCATAATAGTAGAATGTGAATCAAACTAGAATGTGATCAAACAGTTTAAAATAGCTGGACTAAGATATGTAACAATTTTTATGACTGCAGAAATATGTTAATTAAGTATACACATTATCCCACCGGTCACAATTGTGACCGACCATAAAACACAATTTTTCACACACTTTTCCAAAAAAAATTTCAACAAATTATTTCAAAGGGTTACCAATGGTCGGGGAAATATTTGGGATTAAACGGGTTAAGTTGATCAAAAGTGACACTTACATGGTTTCTTTTTATTCTAAAACTCCTGAAAAAAAGGATTGTGGTTTCCACAAAAATATTAAGCAGCACAACTGTTTTTAACATTGATAAGAAGAAATGCTTCTTAAGCACCAAATCAGCATATTAGAATGATTTCTAAAGGATCATGTGACACTGAAGAATGAAGTGACAGCTGCTGGAAACTCAGCTTTGCCATCACAGACATAAGTTGCATTTTACAATATATTAAAATGGAAAATAGTTATTTTAACTTTTAATAATATTAAGCAAAATTACTGTATTTTTAATCAAATAAATGCAGCCTTGGTGAGCATAAGAGACTTTCAAAAAATATCCTACCAACAGCAAACTTTTGAATAGTAGTGTACATCAGTAAATGTCAGAGAAATACTACAAACTACTCTTTAAATTTACCATTTTAAATAAATTGAATTTGAATTTAACAGAGTACTAACTAAAAGACCCTTCTTAGGTCAAATAAATTATCAATGGTCTATAAATGTTTTTGTATTGACTTTAAAGCTCTATAAATTTCTTCTTAACCAGACAAAGGCTACACAAAACAGTTTGACAACAAATTAGAAACAATACAGCAAATGAACCAGTCAAGGGTAAGGCCAAAACAAAATAATTTATTTTCTTTTTGTGACATTTTATGCAGACAGCTAGAATTTAGTGTCTAACTTCAATCCATTGTTATATAATTCTTCCCTTTGCCACACCAACCCCTAAATCAATTAACGGTAATAACCCAAACATTAAAGAGAAATTTGCTATTTTCTGTAGATTTCTGCAAGCCTGTCAACATCAATATCATTACCTTATGCTCCTAGTATAATTTCACATTACATAACAATAAGTTTTTTTTTTTAAAACAAAGTTAGTGCATTTCATTATCCTAAACCACTAGCTGCTCATATTCATTAATGAAAACAAGGAAAAAAAGCCCCAGTGATTTGTTATTTACCGCATTACTAAGCCTCTAGTAAATGCATCAAGTATTTTCTCTGCTGAAATAAAAAAAAATAAAAAATACAAATATGTTAAATCTGTGATTCTCTCCCAATGTCTTTTTGTACATAGTCATGATAACAAACTTACAAGGGACGGGGGTTGCATGGGGGATGGACAGCAGAATTAAAATTAATTAAAAACCAATTTTTAAAAGCAATACTTTACAATGAATTGAACAGCAATACTGTATCCTCCTGATTAAACGTTCAAATAACGGCACCAATTCACCACAGCAACTTTTTTGTAATGAACGCACCCCTGCTATTCTTATTCCCCACAGTCACTATCAGGTACCAGCTACCAAAGCAACTGTCAATTTCTAATTATCCAAACACATGCCACCCTATCCAAAAAAACAAAAACAAACACACGCTGGCATTGGCATAGCAATGACGACACTCACATTTCCATGGCAAAGCTATATGAAACTTTGCAGCAATCATAACGAGAGGATTTTGCACAGATATTGCCATTTATCCAACAGTCAAAATGCTCTATTTAGGGAGGAAGAAATGTATTCGTTTAAATAAGGGGTTTGTATTACAATTCATGGAGGACACATTCAGGGGCTACCGAGCATATAACATTCAATTCTCCTTTCAATCTCATCTCCTTCAAACAATAAAACTGCATACTTTGTCGAATTGGAAGTTCATAAAAATGCGAGACCAGTATTGGTGCTGTAAATGACAGGAATGAGATGAAACGTCACCCTGAGCCAGATAACCCACTCTGGGCATTAGATTTGCACATAAATCATCATAAAAATGGCTGAAAGAGACCAGCACTGTTGATTTTGGTTTCTAAATGACCAAAAGCTAAACAATTTAGGATTTCTTCTACTGAAACACAAAAAGATGAGCTGATTGTGCCTTATTTTAGATATAACAGTGGTAACCATATTTTATCATTTCAACAGTAATGGATAGAAACTAAACTTCAGACCAGCTTGACGACCAACTGCTCCATACAACCAACCAACTCTGAATGTACTGACAATTAATATAAGAAACCCTCTAAATAAGAACCTATCCACATAATGAACATGATTCTGACTCTGCCTTGCATTACTCCAATCCACCACCACCTTGTTGTAAACATAGTCAAGAGCCTGACTGATTATCAGGATATTTGAGCAGTCCAGGAAGGAGAATGCACAAAAATGACAAATCTGAGATGACACAAAGTTCATGAGTACCTATGTACCTGACTGTTAGAGTTATCATTCACAGGCTGTTGGTTACTCAAACTAGCTACAAAAACAATGACAAAATCACACATAAAATGAAAAAGAAACGAATCACCCATCAGCAAACCAGTGACATAACAGCATCATAATTGGCAGGCTTTGACTTCACGAAGTGACAGTAGGCTATATATTTGAAACATTAACAAGGCTCCAAAGTTGATCGTAAGTAAATCCGAACGCCCGTTCCAGAATTAATCACGAGCTACAGTATGTCACACGAACTAATGCAAAACTCCAGACCAAATCGCACTGTCAGCCCTAAAGATACTTGCGAAATTATTCACTTAAGCACGCGTGGCGTATTCTACACGGGATCTAAATCCCAGATGAATCGACTCTAAAGCAAACCACAAAATTTCATTTACACGGTCAAACCACCCCGGGGGCGAGCGCTCAGTGTCCTGTGATTGTGAATGAAGCACCCGAAAACTAAAGAAAAGAAAAAGATGAATCATTGCATGTCAAAGTGATATCTTTGTATAGGTACATGACATCGTTTATGCATGTTCCTTTTCTTAGTGCATATGCTCTTTGCAGACACTGATCAGGGCCATCAGACCACCCATTTTCCCCTCTCCCAAGCTGAGAGGCCACCCTCCTTTCAAGAAGAAAAAAAAACTCACATGGATTTACATTCTGAAGGGACATTGTCAAGTTAGAAGCATAAAATGTTTTTGTTTTTTTTTGTTTCCTATTCGATGGCGTCCTTCAGCAAGCAACAACTGCTTCTAATTTCTGATGCCCATTTTGCCTGGATACCCCAGTCTGTGCATTGTCACTTCATGAGACTTTTCCTCTGGAAGTGCTCCAGGCAGGAGAGGTGAATACCATTTTAAATTTTGAATTTTATATCATATTTCATCTCTTTATATATATTTACATATATATATCTTATATATATGCGTGTGTAAATATTCATACATTAAGGATTTCTGTTTATAGTCTTTACTTTGGCGATATGGGGGGGATGTTCTGCTCTTTCCCAGTGTGTCTGGAACCTCCCTGGGGGGAACCACGTTGGCCAAAAGGAGGGCGTCTCTGTTGCTCCCGTAGCTTGAACCTCCCTGCACTGGTTCTGGGGGGTCCATTGCTGCGAGAAAAGCCCTGGGAGTCACGGGCCGGTCGGCCCTCCCTGGCCTTGCAGTTTCCCCCCGTTTCCTGAGGCCGCTCCTGTTTGTTTGCAGGGCTGGAGGGCTGTTGCTCCTCCACCTTGTTGACGCGCAGCTCTCTCAGAGGCTGCGTGCTTGCATTGTTGGGGCTGGAAGTGGATGCTGAAGGAGGGGGATCCTTAGGTGGTCGCTGACATACTTCAGCATAACTGAGCTTGCGAGGTTCCTGAGGAGAAGAGGGGACAAATTAGAAAAAGGTTTCTCAATTTGCACTAGCCTTTAAGTACTGGGTGGGAGACGCATCTCAACTACATATTCAAAGATAGGTTACAGAACTTTGAATAGCTTTGGTATATGGAAATGTCTGGGAGACTTAAATAATGTCCGTTTTAGGTTTGAGTTTAGATGGCGGGTGTTAATATATTTACCCATGCGAACCATATGTAAATAAATAAATAAAAGGCATGTGATCAGCGAAGAAAAAAATGAATTAAACAAAACAAATACATTACTATTGCAAAATAATATTGTACTGTACAAATGTAATTTCTTTGATTTGAAACGTTCAACCATAGAGGTTACCACAGAAAATATTTGTATTATTAAGATTATATTTATAGATTTTTATTTTTTGTCAGGTTTTATTTTTATATATTAATACACCTAGATCTTAAAACATATTGAAATAAAAAACTAAAATATAAATAAAAAATTAAATATATGCAGTCTTGGTGAGCATAAAACACTTCTGTAAAAAAAATAAACAAATATATATAAATATAAAAAAATATTGATAATAGTTTTGATTATAAAAAATATTTCTACTGTATTGTTAAAAACATATGTTACCCAGTGTTTTGTGATAAAGAATTCAGATTTTAACTATTCACATCATACTTCTCAGGTAAGAAAATACAGAAATATGTATAAAAAAGAAAAAGAAAAAATCACATCCCTGTAAATAAATAAAATAGATACTGTTATATGTTGTAACATCAATATTTTCAAAAACAAATAAGTTACATGGTACACTGCAATATATACATATTACAAAAAAAAACAATTGTAAAAAAATATATGTAAATATTCAATAAAACTTATTGTAATATGATGGAATATACTCATACATTGGTAATATGTAAATAAATAAAAAATACTAGTAAGGGCAGGGAGTAAGGGAACATTAATCACCCAGGTCAAAAAAACAAACAAACAAAAAAATCCTACATCTAGAATAGGACTGTTTCAATTGTAGGACAGACTAGAAATAAATGGAAAAGTGGAGAGAAAATGAGAAAAGAATGGGGTCTTGAACCTACATCCCATTGAACACAGAGTCTATAGTTCTTCAGGAAGACCAGAGACACTCACATCACTGCCTACTTGGCCCTTCTGAATATAACCGTCAGCCTGAGAGAAGCAATAACTCACCAGCGCAGGAGTACTGGAGGGGGCAGTGTTAGATTGGGGGGTGGCTGCAGGTGTGGCCGAGCTGGCCTGAGGCTTTGGACCAGGTGCTGTTGGGGCAGGGGTGGGTGGCATGGCTGCAACGGGGGCAGAGGTCACAGACGTCTCTTTATAAACCGGAGGCTCCACCTTCTCTGGTTTCTTCTCCAGGTGGTTGGAGCTACAAGACACAAGTAGCAAAACTCAGACACTAATAAAAACAAGATTCAGAATGCCAGTCATTTGTAACCATCGTTTACCTGGAGGTCACGGGATCAGGGACGTGAGCAGTCATCTTGGCTACAGGCTGGGTGGGCCTGGAGACGGTCTCCTCTGAGGCTGGGCCTGCGGGACTCGCAGCGGACTCTTTGTTTGAATCCTGCTGCTGGAGAGATATTAAACAACACGCAATGAGCAAAACAAAAACAATCAAGAGTGGTGTTAAAACTTATTATCGTATTTTAACATACCTTTTCCCTATTCAGGCCCCGTACAACATCAGAGAGCCGGTTCTCCAGCACAGGCTCCCCCAGCGGACTGGCAGAGCAGCCAGGCAGCGGAGGGAAGTTGGAGGCAGCCAGGTCAAACTTGGGGGGCGGTACCTTCACTTGAGACAGGGGAACTGGTCTCTGTGGAAACAAACAAGAAAAAAAAACAATTAAGAAGGCATAAATAAGAAGAGGTTCAACTGTAACCAGCAACACAAAAAAAAAAAGCATTACTGTTGTGCGATCATCCTCTCGCCGCCTTCGAGTGCCTCTGTATGTCGTTCTCCTGAAACAAAAGATTAACACAAATTTATAAAATGTACGATCTGATTGAAATTTAATTACAATGACATTCTAAAGAGGTGAAACACTCCATAATTGCACTAGTTCACAAGGCTAAACTAAAATAAAAGGATTACATTTTGGAGGTCACATGGGACCCGGAAAAGAGGGCAGCAACTAATGACTATTTTGATCATTTATACGCTACCATTTAAAAGTTTGGGGCCAGTAAGTGTTTTTTTTTTTAAAGAAAATACTTTTATTCAACAAGAACCTTTTAAATTGATCAAAAGTGACAATAAAGACATTTACATGGTTACAATAGATGACATTCAGTATTAAGAAAGGAAAACCTGACAAACCTTCCCCGTCCCGCCATGGTACCATCATCAGTTGGATCATTGGAAGCTAGGTGTGGAAAGGATGAGTTGAGTTCAGTGGATGACAGCACTGGCCCGGCGCTGGATGGAGGCTGGGGACTGTGCAGACCAGACAACCCATCCACAAGAGCCACCGGAGACACAGTGGAAGACGGCCCATCATTAGCCCTCGTCTGAGGCTTCACATGGTTCCTACTCAAAAAGCAGAAACAGAAAAACACATGAGATTTGCTTCTATGTAACAGTGTCTTCTGTCCATACAAACTTTTTTTTTTGCTAATAATTGTACAAGTCTGAATGTAGATGATGGTTCTTCAAGTAATGGGCAGCATGCAATTACTCCAAAACATTTCAAACCGAACGATTTGTTGGACTAATCCGATTACATTTGGAAAATAAAAGAGCTGAAAGTGTGTGAAATATAATGTTCTCAGTGTCAATGCGCTCCACAAGGCAGCCAAAATGACGTAACAGGCAACGTGCTATCTGCCCCTTGATAACCTCCTCTTGCTGGGGTGTCTTCAAGTAATGGGCAGCATGCAATTACTCCAAAATAAAAATGGAGACAAACAGGCATATTCTGGCATTAAAACCAGTATTTTTCCTGCCAGTGAGCTTACATTGGCATCTATCTAAATTTGTATAAATATAAATATATATATCTGTGTGTATGTGTATATGTATGTATATATCTATATATGCGTGTATATAATTTGGAAAATAAAAGAGCTGAAAGTGTGTGAAATATAATGTTCTCAGTGTCAATGCGCTCCACAAGGCAGCCAAAATGACGTAACAGGCAACGTGCTATCTGCCCCTTGATAACCTCCTCTTGCTGGGGTGCGTCGAAAGACGATGATCTTGTATCGACAAGAGCCAGAGATATTGTCAAAAACATCAATTATTGGCAATATTAGGAGGATTTGGCATTTCCATTTACTGTAGGCCTGTTACATTCTTATTTTTATTAAGCCTATTATTATTATTATGAAGTTACATTTATTATAAAATTTTATTATTAAATTGAAATTACAATTAATTTGCCCCGCAAAACCGCATAACTGACGTACTGCGAGGATAACAAAAGATAAGGCTAGTTACTCCTCAAATAAAATGTTTTAAAAAAGGTCTTTTAAAATACAATTAAATATAGGCCTATAATTAAAATGTTAACACTGCAGTCATCAATAATAAAAAAAAATTAAATAAAAAGCTTTATTTAGCTTATCTAAAGCGCCGACTTTCAAAAACAACCGGTTTAACATGAAATACATTTCTTAATTTTTTTTCACTATGTACGGGCCACAAGAGAAATATTAAGGGAATAAATGAAAACAGTTGGCTATAATATACCGTTATCAGCATACGTTGAAGTAGATTCGTATCGCCGTCTCTGAGAGAATATGCGGTGGCAGATGCAGAAAGATCTGTCATTACTCTGTGATTCCGTTTTTACTTTCATTTTCGGCATAGTGAATTGACTGAGATTAAGACGTTCACCGGCATAACTCTTGCACAAAGTTTGCACGTTGCTTATGTGATATCCATTGGCTCGTCTTCATGGTTTAAAACATGGTTTAAAATATTTCCAACATTGCGACAAAAGCAATTACGAACGTACCGAACCGAACCGTGACACCACCGTGTCATATCGAACCGAACCGTGAATTTTGTGAACCGTTACACCCCTAATATTTTTCTGGTTTATTATCTTCTGTAAACTCACTTCAGGCATTTAAATTAGGGCTGTAAATTGAGTAAAATATCATTTCAAGGCAAAAATTTACGCACTAACATTTTATCTTTCACATTAATTCTGACAGCCCTTAATCTAAATGTTTCTTTAAATGAATAAAACATACAGAAATGTTTAACCACTGCTCATGAAGATCATTCAACATAAAAAGCTGTTAGTGTAATGATTTGAGTGCCAATATAATAAAGACACAAAATAATTAGTTAACGGAAATATTAAGGTGATAATAATTACAGTAATTATTTTCTCTTACTTTATAACCCTCCCCCACTCATTTTGTTAGTAAACCAGAATTTTGAGCTAGAGAGCTAAACACCAGAGCTGGTATTTTAGCTGTCTGAACAGGATAGTAAGAATGGATTGATGATTGTTGATATTTGAAGTTTTTGAAGCTGTACCTGAAGGCATTTATTACATTCTTTCTTGAATAGAGTGGAACACTGTGGGAACAGTAAAAAATATCCAAGTGATCTACTGTAACTGCCTACATTCTTACACTACACAAAAAAAGCTTGTCCATGAATGAAACTTCTTGTATCAAATACAAAAATGGGAATGCAGATTTCAGACATCCTTTATAGAGTACAACAGTGCCCGCACCTTTTTTCAGTGGCCTTGGTTTTGAGAGTATTCTTACAGTCATTTTTCTCATGGGAATTTAAAAAAAAAAGTAATTGAAGAGTTCTAACAGACAAAGGTACAAAACTGTACATAACGGCTTTAATGAGGCAAAGAACTACAATCCCAAGAAACATTGTGAATGACAAATTAAAACTGATTTAATTTTTAATTTAATATAAGTAGTTTGAGAGTGTAGGGAGACTATCACATCATTCACAGTGTTTCATGAGAGTGGGTGGGCCCTAAAGTGTTCTTTCGATTCTCTGATTGGTGGATATTTTTTTTTGCAGAATCATGGGTAATGTAGTTTTTCACCAGGAATTCCACTGCTAAACACGATTTAAAATTAAAGAAAGTTGAAATTATGCAGGCTGTTAGCTTCAATGAAAACATATACCACAGATTATAACCTCAAAGCTCACAGTAATGCTGTCTTTTAACGGTTTAAGTTACCATCAATTCCCTTGCAGAAAAAATGAATTTACTGCCAGAACCCTGTTGCACTCTATGATGAGGTTAGAACTATACAGTTAATTAATTCAAAATAAACTGGTAGTATAATGAAGAGCCCAACTTGACCTACCGGTTCCTGCTAAAGGGACGGCTAAGGTTGAGAGAAGTTGAGCCAGTTTTGTAGTGTCCAGGTGAGCTAAATCCATTGACAAAACCACTGTTGGGAAAAGGTGCCTGTGGAAAGCGGAATCAGTTAAAACAATGAAATAAAAAAAATAATTACAACAAAAATTATTGTTAGGTGCATCCCTAGTCAAACTAGAAAGACTTACGAGGGGTGTCTCAAAGTATGGAGTCGGAGATGGCGTCCAGGTAGGAGGTACTATGCCGTAGAGTGGGTACTGCTGCTGGGGGCTGTAAACAGGCTGCATGAAGAGAGGGGAGCTGTACTGGGACTGAGTGTGAGATTGCTGAGGATACACACTGCAGTCCAGGCTGCGGTAACCATTCTTCGCAAAGAACGTGTTGATGGCTTTTATTCTGGCCTGAGAACAGGAAACGCAAAAAGGTAAGAACCCACCTGACATGTATAAACAAATTTAATGTTGCACATTTTTGTAAAGACTTTACCATGATTGGTTTTCCCTGAAATGTCTTCACTTCTTCCCTTAAATATTTGTATGCCTGGATGGAGGAAACCCGATTAGTTTAAAATCCAAGGGTAAGCAATTTGTTTAATCTCTAAATAAAAGCAGAAATTCATACCTGTTGAGCGTCTGTATCCGATTGGAATGTAATGTACCAGTTGTTGTTGTGTGCAAACTCCACGCTTATTACCTTGGGACAGTTGTCATTCTTAAACAAGGCTTCCACTTCCTGATGAGAACAACAAACACGCAAATAAATATAAGAGGATCCTAAGATAGCCACAGCTTCTACTTCTTGATAATATTTCTCACCTCAACAGGTGTTGTTTCAGGGACTTCTCGCAGAATGATGATGCATCGCTTGTGATTTGGCCGCACCTTTTCTCCTTTTTCGTCAACTTGAACCATTGGAGATGCTGTAGGCGGTCAGAGCAATATAAATTTTTGTACTGTGAATAAAAAAACTGGACCATAGATGTAAAATGCAGGCACGTACATCTGAGAACATCCAAGATGAGGTCCGTGTCAGTTGTGAGGACCTTGATTCCTTCAATGCTGGCAATAGTCCAAATAGGGACAAACTGGTCACTGTCCATTTGAGATATTAGGTAAAGATCCTTAGATAAGTTCTCCCTGTGGGATGAAAGAGGAGCATCGGTAAACGCAGCTGATGGGAGAAGAATGGCCGTAAAGTGCTGTTTACTTAGTTGCATTAAATTGAAAGCTTACATCGCATTACACGGCTGCACTTACCTGGAGAAACAGAACTCCAATTCTTTTTTGAGAGACTCACGCAAAGTCTCTTGAGAGACAGGCTGTTCCTCAGGGAGCTTGGACTCCACTGCATGTAAACAAAGAGCATAAACAAAGGTAAGTGTTTGGCAAATGCCTGCTGATTGAAAACACCAACAACAGTTAGCAGTGATGGATTTAGGAGATTTATCTAATTAACATGTACACATGAACCATATCATATTTCAAAATTATGACATTACATACCATTAGTTGCTGTAGTGTGCTCAGAAACCGGGAAGCTTTGGTCAGGGGGGTCCATACCGTTCACCACACCTACTACAGTACCAGTGGTGCTGTTGTCCTCAGGAGTGGAGAAGCCAGGCATGTACTGTTTACCTACAGAGTTATCTATGTGAACAAAGAAACAAATGACAGATAAACAATTAAAATCATAAATACATTAAATGAGATTTTATTATGTATTTTGTGTGTGCTGTGGTACTCTCTATAATGGAGGCAGAGGGTGACTCGGGGGCGAGGAATTGTTGAATAAAATCATTCTTTTAGTTTTTTTTTTTTGCACACAAAAAGTATTCTCGTAGCTTCATAAATTTACGGTTGAACCACTGATATCACGTGGACTATTTTGTCAATGTTCTTGGTACATTTCTGGGCTTTAAACGTGGTCAGACCCTCGCTATATACAGGGTTGGGTATCGTTTTTTTTTTTTTCGATACCGGTGCCAAATCGATACTTTTAAAACGGTTCCGGTGCCTGAACCGATACTTATTCAAAAAAAAATAAATAAAAAATCCCCCAAAAAATGATGGATTGGCCATTAGCACTATAAACACATGATGTCTGATTCATTCATACTGGACGCCAGAGGGCGCCCTCACACAGAAAATCCACATAGTCAAATGCAATTTATGCAATATTTCAAACCTTTAACCCACTTGAGAAAATCAACACATGACAACAGTTTAAAAGTAGTCCAATTCTGTGGAAAATTCTGTGGCAACCCTGCATCCAACAAGAGCTACCGGAGTCAGCTTTGACTGATCACAGGTCGAGAATAAGGAGAGATGACTGACAAGACCATGCTGGAGTATTTGCTGCTCAACAGATCCTGAGCTCATTGACAAATATCTGATCTTGTAAGATGTGCTCTCTTTACACAGAGTGCGTGTGATTGCAAAATCGAAAGTAAAAGTAAACCGCGCAAATGCTCATTCAAAAATATTTAAATACACCACATCCTGAGAGCGGTTCCCTGATGCGCCAAAATTATATAAAATATTAGAATGTTTAAAGGAGTGGACACGAAAATCGCGGGAGCGAAACACATGTTGCGGGAGCAGGCGGCAATGGTCAGAGATTCAGCGGGAGTGGGATTAAGAAAACAGCCGAATCCCGGACATTTCGGGCAATTAAGAAATCCTGGCCGGACGCATTTTTGTAGGTCCAAAAAGAGGATATGTCCGGGGAAAAGAAGACGTATGGTCACCCTAATTTATAATCTATTCCTAATCGATGTATTCTTTTTAAAGTAGCATATGGAACACATTTTCTGCCTCATTCTGTGACAAGAAGCCTCATCAGATCACAAAAGGAAGCATTTGACTGGTGTTGTGGAGTAAAAAGGTTATAATGTTCTCTTTTGTTGGACAACAGGTTTAGAAATACGAATACAAGGGAGGTTTAGCTTTAGGCATTTTAATTTAAGCATGTTTAGCTTAGTTAACGGAAGGCTACCTGCTGCCATCAGAGCAAGTGTAATTACTGCATTCACGCGCCCCTCGAATGCTCTCATTCCCCGAGTTGTGCTTTTAAAGGAACACTCCACTATTTTTGAAAATAGGCTAATTTTCCAACTCCCCTAGAGTTAAACAGTTGAGTTTTACCATTTTCGAATCCATTCAGCCGATCTCTGGGTCTGGCGGTAGCACTTTTACGGCAGAAAAGTTCCTTGATTATTACACCGGAATGAGAGTATAGTTTTTAGCCATATCGGCCTAGAAAATCACAACTTTTGATTTTTCGTCGGTCTTAGTACGCGATGTAACTACAGAAGAGTCAAGTTTTAAATAGGAAAAATATAGAAACTCTTTGGTCATTTTTGAGCGAGATGCTAACGGTCTAATCAGATTCAATGATCTATGCTAAGCTACAGCTAAAAGTGCTACCGCCAGACCCGGAGATCGGCTGAATGGATTCGAAAACGGTAAAACTCAACTGTTTAACTCCAGGGTCAAAATCAGCTAGATGCATTTTTTTTTTAAAGTTACCTTTAACTTGACAGTGTCTAAACTGGCTATATGTGTGGCACAACATTGGGAAAAAGTGAGACATAATGCAACAGCCATCTGTCTGCACATGTACACAGACCATCAAAACAAATGCTTCGCAACTACTGTTTAAAGTTTGGGTTCAGTCAGGCTTTTAAAAATAAATTAATACTTTTACTCAGCAAGGATGCATTAAATTGGTCAAGTGACAGTAAAGACATTTATCATGTAAAAAAAAGATTTCTATTTTAATGGTTTAAACAAATTAAATAATGCTTCTTGAGCACCAAATAAGCATATTACAAGGATTTCTGAAGGATCAGGTGACACTGAAGAGTGGAGTAATGACAAGTGTCATCACATGAATAAATTACATTATAAAATAGAAAACATTTGTTTTAAATTGTAGTATTTCACAATATAACTGTTTTACTGTATTTTTCATTACATAAACATAGCTTTGGTGACCACAAGGGACTTTAAAATGTCCCTTTACAAAAAATCTTATCCACCCAAATGTTTGAACAGTAGGGTATATGCATTCTGGAAAAACACTAACAAATCAGTTGCATGGAACTGAGATTTAGAACACATGGAAATTTCCTTTACCTTCAGCTGTATTGTTCTGGGACCAGGGGGAGGCCACAGTGCCATCCACAGGAGCTTCGCTTTGTGTTGCTGGGATCTCCTGCCACACCTTGGCATTAGGGTTCAGACCAGCTCCTTTAGCAGTGACCTGGAACAATAGAAGGAAATGCAAAGAAATCATTAAACCTTAAGTCTTCAAATGACATTTTATAGTATAAGGATGGTTATCTTGACATTGCTTATTCTCATTTTTTTTGGTCTCTCTTTATAGGCATGACATGCAAAACACTTCCAGTGTCGTTCCCATGACACCAAGGTTTGTTTACATGTCTTGAGTGACACTGAGAACAATGACAGATGAGCCCACTTCACCTCCCCTCAAAAGCAACCCAAAATGCCCACGGAGAAAGCCAAGTGCTTAACCAGACATGAAAGATGGTACTTCAGTTAATGATAATAGTCTAATTTGAAAACATTAACATACCATAATACAGAAAATGGGGCATTTGTGAGATATGAATACTGTGCTGGGATTTCTCTTTGCAACTAATCAAGAGTGCTTAACTTATAAGAAATTAAAGAAAAATATGTTAAAACGGTATGTATTGGTGGAAGAATGAACTAAATAAATTCTCAGTCAACACCTTCAGTCAATACTAACACACAAAGGCAGCACGAGGTGAGCGGAATCACATGGGCTCATGTTTACAACACATGAACAGCCAAAACTACCATTTTATTATTGGTCACAAGGCCTCTCATTCAAGATAGCAGCAGTCTCTATAGCAGAGGTTCAATCTTTTTTGCCAGTAGTTCCTGCAGCCAGACAGGGAAAGATTGACTCTTTCAGTTCAAACTTGTCTGACAGCTCCATTTCATCCTAACAACAGACAGCTTTCACAGGACTAGAGCTGATCCAATACAACAGCATTAAGGTGAGTGTGATTTTGCTTTTATACAACAGTCAAATAAATAATTAATTTTGAGCAACATTTTTTTTTAAAAACTGGCCAGTTAACATGTTTCTTGTCCACCAACCAAAAAAATTGTACAAAGCATGTAGTTTCGGGTCTGGAACAGCATATGTGAGCGACAAAGAGTGTTTCAGCTCCAGATCCCCCCCCCCCCCCCCCCCCCCCCCCCCCCACCACCCCCCCCCCCCCCCCCCCCCCCCCGAAAGATTGACTCTTTCAGTTCAAACTTGTCTGACAGCTCCATTTCATCCTAACAACAGACAGCTTTCACAGGACTAGAGCTGATCCAATACAACAGCATTAAGGTGAGTGTGATTTTGCTTTTATACAACAGTCAAATAAATAATTAATTTTGAGCAACATTTTTTTTTAAAAACTGGCCAGTTAACATGTTTCTTGTCCACCAACCAAAAAAATTGTACAAAGCATGTAGTTTCGGGTCTGGAACAGCATATGTGAGCGACAAAGAGTGTTTCAGCTCCAGATCCCCCCCCACACACACACACTAGTGATCATGAAGTGATGGAAAACACTGTTGTAATAACACATCATTAACATTTTTCATTCTATTTTAATACACTGCAGAAATCCAAAACTTAAAAGACATGAAACTTATTATGGTAAACAAATAAGCATTTATAAGATTGTCCTCTTGTTCCCATCAAAAATAATTATCCAAAAGTCTAATGTACACGTTACTGTTCAAACGCATCTGAAGTGTTCACACTTAAAAGGAAGGTACTGAAGCAGGCGCAATGTAAAAAAAAAAAGGTTCCCATATGTACATTTATTACACTTTAATATTTTGGCTACAAATTGTGCATCTAAAATAATTCGTACATGCTCATTTCACATGGCCACGGGGGCGCCAATGGGAACAGCCACCTGCTTCCTAACCTTCATCCTCCACATAAACTATCAAAAACAGCTGTTAAGCTTTGTGAGCCAGTAACACAAACAACACTAAAAACCCTCTAGGATACTAGAATAAAGTGTTTCTAGAAGATGTCAGCCTGAAGATTTAAGCCGAAAGCAGACATATTGTCACTCTCCGAAAAACTCGGCTGCTACGGGTCCTCCCAAGCTAAAGTGCAGGACATGTTTAGTATATTAACAGAGAAGAACATCGGCTTACAGCTAGACAAGCTGAAACAAATATTTGCTAATTATTACTCAGAAAACTATATCAACTTCCAAAATCGGTGTAATACACATATTATTTGGAGTTAATCTGTTCTATTCGGTTTTAACCTCACTAGAGCTCATGTGTGTCATATGACTGCGTGAATAAGCTTATGAAAGCAGGCCGCTGAATGAACGCTGGCGAATTACAGCGGGTTTTGCTGTTGAATTTGTCGACTAAAATCAGTATCTCTAGGCCAAAGTATGAATTAATCTATAACTAACCAGCAAAATGCTCATATGTGTGTATCTTCGCTAGCAAATGGGCTAATTTAGCCGGTTAACTCTTGTCATGCTTAAAGGGCCAGTTCACCCAAAAATGTAAATTGTCATGTCGTGTCAAACTTCCTTTATTCAGTACAAAACAAAAGGTTGGTTGTATTTGCGTTTATTACCATAACAGCTTCACAGGATATTCGTATCATGGCAGATACAGGTTTAACAGTAAATAAACATTTTAAATATAAATTTGACTTGCATTATTTTGCACATACACAGCTCTATATAAAGACTCTGTAAATGTGTGAAAAAAAACTAACATTTGTATATGTCCATCTCAGAAAACAAGTGCTTTTATAACTCAAAAGGAGATATCAGGTAGGATGTGAGAGACTGACAGCCTCAGTCTCTCCATTCATTTTTACTGCATCGTTTTCCAGTGGAAGTCAATAGGAACTTCCGCTGTCATTCTGTCGTTTCTGTTCATAAGTGTTATGAACGACATGAGCGTGAGGAAGTGACATTTTTGGGGTTAACTAACGACTGTGTGAGAGAGAAAGCAATCTTAAAACCACAAACATTCTGCAAAGTTCAGCCGCAGATTAGAAATGGCTTTTGTAAGCGGGCCAACTAAGAGATTAATTAATCATCCTGTCAATTGCCAACAAGAAGCGTCTTCGACAACATGGCCAGCTTGCAATTTAGGTGATGTCAGAGCTTGCAAGCTGTGTAAACCGACCGATGGCCTTATATAGCGAGCGATCATACTTCCTATGACCCTATTTTTAAGAAGGGCAACGGCCAGAGACCGATCGTCCTGTTGGGGAGGGGTGAAGAGGCCCCGACTCACCATGACGCCCGAGTCTCCCCCGGTCCCGGGTGTGATCTCGTCCTCCCCACGGGGTTTGGGTCCCGGCTCAGCCTCCTCCTGCAGCTGCGGCTCTCCGCCCTGGTCTGAACTCATCGGCCGCTCCTGGCTCACCGCGCCTCCGTCGTTCTCTCCCTGCCCCCCTCGAGTCCCTCTTTTTGCTGATCGAGTAACGTTAATTAGCTAATAAATACACCAGTATGCGCACAGTAGGCGGTCCGGTTGAAGAACCTAAACTTATTGAGCGCTCGGTAATGAAAGCTCAGAATGCGTGCTGGCTGGCTAGCCACCGAATGGGCTAGTTCTCCTGCTAACTAGCTGGCTAGCTATCAATGCATCGACAAATACGGCGCAGGCTCCGATGTTTGTCAACCGACGGGTGAAAATGACAGCGCAAGCGCCGAAAATAGCGAATTCGTTCCTAACGCGCCTTCTTCGCGATTTAGCCAAGCGTCAGTGCCATAGAGTGCATTCCTAAACGGGCGACCGAAGCGGACACAGGGGACACGCACCTTACCAATGAGTAGGCAGACATTAACACCGTCCCACACTCCTCAGCGACCTTCTTCTTCTTCTTCTTTTGATGTTTATTGGCGGTTTTGGCAAACCAACTTAAAGGTGCATTACCGCCACCTACTGATCTGGAGTGAGGAGTGAACAGATTTGGTAGACAGAAAGATATTATAAAATAAATAAAAATCCCACAATTACAATTTATATTCTTTCCATATTTCCTGTCTTTTTTAGATAATTGAACACTTCTTCTTTAATTCTTGATTGCATTTGTCTATTCCCTAGTAATATCTTGAGT